GAAACCAATACTGAGAAGAGTTAAATAAATAGATAAATAAATAAAATTACAGTTCAACAGTGAGATGATCTTGTTTATGATGTTCCCATGCACTACTTTTAAGCACACAATTACAGCAATTGCTTTAATTACACTGCAGGATTATATACACTATGTAAATACATTAAAAGGACCACTGATAAACCAAACAAGTAAGAAGTTTCTTATTGCGGATTAATAGAAACAATGAAGTTGTTTCCCAATTCACTTGCAAAGGAAAATTCATGAACAACCTTAGTTTTATATAGACAGACATTCTAAAATATCAGTCTTGCTACTGTGGATCTTTTTTTTTTTTTCCCCCTTTCAAAAGTAAGTTTGTAAAAGTACGTTCACAACTACATTAGAGCACAAGGTATATTGTTCAGAACATACATATGAGCAGATTTACTTACAGTGAGTTCTGAGAAATTTAGACTGGCTGCCTTTCTGGGCTGATTGTCTCATCCTTCATGCTTTATTCCTTTCTGATCTATTCACATTGCAAGTTTCATTTTGCCTTAAGTAGGTTTTAGAACAGCCTTAACGCTCAGATAGCTCTTGCCTTCAGTAAAAGGTGAACTTCATCATCACTATGTTTCCTATGATATATGTATAAAAGCATATATACATTATATATTCATCCACATATCATCAAGATGTTTCATCTGATCCCAATGTACTGTGGGATTTCTCTGTTCCTACATATATTGTAAAAACGAAGGAGCACTGACATTTCTAAGTTAAAAGTTCATAGATGGGAAGGAGAGAGGCGATTGGGAGAGGGGACTCTGCCATGGGTATTTCCACAAAGCGTCTGCAAGTGGAATTACCATAAGCAAGAACTTTGATCCTCTGTCAAACATTTCACTTACACAGTTTTCAAACACCTGCTCATCCAGCTGAAGAATGCACTAGAAATGTGTCCCTTATGTTCATTTCTGTGGGACAAAAATTACTTGGTGTAGTCTTCAGTGCCAGTTCCCATGCCCACCGTTCATCCCTCTAAAGGAAGAAAGCATGGTGGGGGTTTTTTGGTTTTGGTTTTGTGTTTTTTTTTCTTTAAAGATTAAATCAACAAATTAGTTTGTAAGATTTTGCATTGCAGACAAAATATTGTCCTTTCCTTCTGTATCTCCCACTGGAACAGAATGTTAACTGCACAGAACTTGTTCTAGCAAAATTTTTAAATACAGCTCTGCTTAGGGTGAGAAAAATATTTTGTCATTTATTTGACAAAGTCTTCAGTTCTGTGCACTGACAGATCCCCAAAGTGCAACTGCAATATAAACTGCGATAGCAAAGTGCATGTTTGCAAGGGAGGCAGAATTATACTTGTTCCACATAATCACTTAATCAGATACATGCTTACCTACTGCTCAATTCTCAAGTAATTTTAAGTTGTGAAATGGAGCAAATTTCTACCTGATACTACAAACAGCTGGGATAACATGCTTGCTGATCTAATTCAAAGTCTTAGTGATGAATACCTGCGTTCTTAGCTACTCACATCAGAGGCTGTCACAGTAACAGCCACCTTTTAAGCTCTGGGTTAGAAACATGCCTATGCTGCTGTTATTTCTCACCTGAAGCTGAAAAATACTTCCTAAGATTGGTTCTCCAGAAATTCAGATGATGTTCTATGAGAACACAGTGACACTGTGCACTAACCCTAATTTCATAGCAACTGGAGTTGTTTGTTTAACTATGATCAGGTATAAGGAACTATTTACACCATAAATGAAAAAAATTGCACAGAGTTGTAGCTCTCCACTGCATTGTTTATACAACGTTTAATACAGATATGAAGCTGGACCATAGAGCTGTCATCGCACAACTCAATGAACACTAACAAATACGTAAGAAAAAAAGTCACTGGCTGGGGACTATATTGCAGGCACATCACAGAATGTAAGTCAGCAACCCCCTTGATAGCAAAACAAACACACAGATTAATGCATACTGCAAAGGAAGGGTGACTACATCAATAGGTTACTGATTCAGACCACGAACTTTATCTCAAAATATTGCATTTAACTTTTAAATAAGGTTTAGGAGAACTTGTAACATTTTGCTCACTGACATAGCTATATTTTATTAAGGACAAAAATGGGTTAGTCTATAAAAATTAAATTATACCCTTTTGACTGTATCTAGTCAAGAGGAAAAACTCTAATTATGAGATTGTGCTGTCACATAAATGCAAATTCACATCTTTCATATTCTGGGTTAAAAATTCAAACACAAATCTATTATAAATTAAAATCAATATTTGAAACATTTTGGGTTTCAGTGATAAGCAACAACCAAAAGAATCAAGTTCTGAATATACTGGTAGAAGTAGAATGAATTATTAAATAAAACTTGGGAGAATAAGGCATTTATATGACACACATTTAAATATCAATTAGGAAAAAAACCAATAAAGGATGATAAACTGAATCATCTTTTTTATAACCAATCCTCTCTAGAATTGACTGAGGATAACAGAGAAACTAAGCTTGCAATGTAAATTTCACTCAATTTGAAATAGTAAGGTTAAAAATTTAAATTTATTCACTAGCTGAAATTTACAATCTCTAAGCTTAAAATGAATAAGAACTGCATTTATAGAAGTAAATTAAATAAAATAGAACAGGGGTACCTGCTATGCACAGCATGCTAGTTACCTCCTAAAGGGAAAATCCAAGGATCTGCTCAGAGACAATATAAAATTGCACAAAAAACCCCCACCAAAACCCAAAACCAACCCACCCAGAAGTTTCTAAGAGCTCCTTTTTTACTATATTGCAAGTCAATTTCTTCATAGGAGTAGGACAAGTTATGCATCGATGTATGTCTAAAATCTATTAAAACAGTTCCAACTTGCATTGTCTGTGCCACAGTCACGCGGGCCAGACTGCAATCTTGCCTGCTAGCCTGAGAAAAGATGCATGACTGACTGCCCCATCCTACAAATGCAGCACACAAGTGGCTGTCTCTTCACATAGCTGCGGGTGTGCGTACGCACACATGCAAGCCCACTTATCCAGAAGAGTTGCACTTTAACCTCTGAGGGGTTTACCTGACTGAAAACACTTTTCCAACACTCACCTGAAGGGAAGATTACAGATGTGTTTTGAGAAGGCTGATACAGTCTGAGGTTGTATTGAAACGAAAACATGAAGGAACCAGGTAAGATATTAAAAAAAAAAAAACAAAACCGAAAAAAACATCAAACAAGCAACACCAAACAACTGTTAAGAATTAAATGAGAACTGACTTTTTTGTCTGTGTCTACATACCATGTTGATAGCCCTTCCAATCGCCACAGTGTCCATTCAAACCTATTAAAAGTACTATAGAAGCTGTGGTGTGCAGATAGCAAAGCTTTCAAACATTCATTTAGAGGTACTCGGATTTTAAAAGTACCTTGCAAGCCGTAACTATCTCCCATCCCCACAACCCTTTCCAAGTAAACTTGAAATAAAATACTCCAATAATATATAGCTTTCAAGAGACTGATTTTCCTTCAAACATATAGCTTTTTTCCTCTACACTGGAAAGCTGCTAAATATTTTACAGAAATACAGTCACTGTGGATGGTGTTACCCAGGCTGAACCAAAGTACCAGCAGTTCAGCTACTGTTGATAGGTAACAACAATTCTTATCATTTTTCTATGATTCCTAATGTAGCGGCCTGAAACTACCAGCACCAGCAGAATGAGCCGATCGATGAGCACTTTGGAAATACTAATGAATAGTATCCTAATGCAAAGAACCAATGTTACTGTTCAAGACAGAGGGCTGCACACATTTGCTGGGTAGAGAGGGATTCTGCTGTTACTGAAGGACTCGCTGGGACAACTTGATTTATATGAACAGCATAACAACAGTCCTTTACATCGGTAAACTCCATGCTCTAAAGCACTGCCCTCTGTTGCAAGATGCGCAGCCCCAGAGAGCAGCTTCCCTTCAGTCAGGGTTCTGAGGTCCCAGCCCGCCCTCTGCTCCTTCGGCCCACCGCTCGGTGCGGAGGTCACGCCTACGCTGAGGCACACCAGCGAGGTACCACTACCTTGCCCCTTTTAACGCCTCGCGTCTTAACGGCGGTCTGCAGTAAGAGCAGGATGCTACATGAACTCCAATGCCCACAAACACATTGCCTTGCCACCCCGCCCAGCCCTGAAGTCCCCGATACAGCTGCAGTCTTCTGCTCACAGAGATGGCTACAGAGCGATGTGGTGGTCTAAAAACCAAGACAGTTCTCTCTAAATCTCAAATGCCTTCCATGATGCCAAATAAAAAAAGCAATTTATAGCACAGCTCAAAAGACAATAGAGGCAAGAAGCAGAATCACAGCTAGTTTCCTCTTGAACACGTTTATCTCCAAATATGCTAACTTAATATTAATTACAGTAAGGAAAAAGCCCCCTTAGACTTAGAAAATGAGTATGGCAAATATATCCATTTGTGCCCTCCTCTCCCCCCCAAAGTCCCAACAGTGTTCTTTTTATCCCTCTCTCCCTTTTGCTTGATGTTTTCCTTTATGGATGAAAGCAAAGACAACTACTTTCCTTCCCTTAAGATGAACCTTCAGAGTATATGAATTGCTAGAGTAAATAAAAGAAAGGAGGGAATTACTAATTTAATGCTCTTCCATCTCTTGGGAAAAAAGCCCATGTAATTAACTGTAATGAGATTAAACTAACTTGTTATTAATTTCCCAGTGCTGGGAAACTAAATCTGAGACCCATAAGACTGTGTATTAACAGCTTTATCAACATTTGGCTTGCATCCTTCAATTTTTACACCAGTTTTAAAGGAAAATGATTAACTTTATTGAGTTGCAAAGTCACTCAGAAGTGTAAGAAATTGAATCTGGTCCCTTTAGGTAGGAATGCCAAATTTATCTGTAGCTGAAGACTGTGAATGGGTGGAGCCAAAAGCAACAAACACTATCCAACACAAATAAACAGAAATATAATTATTAAATTCTTACCAAAACTTTTTTCCATTACTTCTTTCTGACACATATCTTGAACGTTCACTGTACAGTTCACAATGAACTCCGGAGCAGAGCAGTCATTATTTAGCTGGAACTCCTCACACTGGTAGCACTGTATTTGCAAACCCAAACCTGGAACAGACAGAATTTTGCTCAGAATAATAATAGTAATAATATTTAAAAAAAAACCCAAAACAATCAACACGTGCCAGAAATCTTCCTTATCTTTCCCTCTTCGCATTTTGCTGATCCTAACTACTCAGCAGCCCAGCAAAAGTACGACTTTAACAGAAATAACGTAAAATCGACGCGTCGCCCACTCCGCTGAGGCTATGCCTTGCGTGCTCAGCACCCGGTGAAGAAGCGGGCTCCCTTCCGCGGGGACCCCGGGGCGGGCAGGCGGCGGTACCGCCGCTCCGGCCCTGCCTCCCCGG